TATAGTTCTTGTTGTCCAAGCTCCACAGGGCCTCATTGATGGCAAGGTAACACTGATGCTACTGTCTTCCTGAAAATAAGAGATAAGGACTGTCCGTTTCCTGACATATTAGCAATACGCTCTGTGAGGCCTTTAGGGAGATGCTTGGCAAAGTAAATACTGGTTTATTCCCCCATCTTCTGGAGACATCCAAGCTCAATTTTTTCAATTATTTTTCACATATTTTGTGCTGCTCCGTGATAACAAGTCTAGATTTCTTACTGACAATTGTATATGCCTACTTCCAAGTATATATATAAAAAAACACTTTTTCTAAATCATGACAAAACTAACAGGTCAGTTGTCTAAGAGCATCAAAACAGGAATTCCTTTGTGTATCATGATGAAAATAGGAGGGATAGACTGTGTGAACATTCTCAAACAAAAGTTCACCCTTCGACTCAGAATCAAGATGTTTTACCTACCCAAAAACTGAGTCACAAAAATGCCTTGTATTTAATGAATATGTTCTTGAGACGCTTAACATGCCTTATCAATATGTTACAAGCACCTTATAGATAGTCATGATCAGGATATCATTTATATTAAATGATGGAGAAACATCCATTGAGCATTTGGCGTATAGACACTGTGCTATATACTCTAAATATATTATCTCATTTAGTCTACACAAGAACACTGCAAAACAATAAGGTATTGTTAACTCCATTTTTGCAGTTTTGGAAACTATGACTTTCTATGACTAGGCTGTTAAGTGAAAGAGCTAACTCAAAAATCCTCATGTGTTCCAAACCCCATCAATTAGAAAGAGAGCAGACCTTTTTGAGACCTTTCACAGATGTGTAGAAATTCACCATTTCTAGAAATATATTTACTTACGCATATGAGTCATCAGGACAGAGCCAGAAAATACAAAGTTACTACCACTCTATACTCAGAACCAAATAGAAATGATGGGATAAGAAACATTTTTTACAGGCCGAACAACCTTAAAGATATTATTCCATCTATGAATTCCAAATTAGATGAAGGAAAACTGGATCAGAAAGCAAACATTCAATCACATTATGAAACCATTGTTTGGATTTTTTCTACCGTGCTAAGACATTCTGCTAATTATACAGATTGTTTTTAAAGGCTTAATAAATTTGGGGTAGTATATTTAATCTTTTGGAAACTGTTCTTCTCTAACTCCAGTGACTGCGGTGAAGGAAACTGTCAATCATGGCACCCCTCCTCTCTGCCTGTACAACCGGGTCTGTGAACTATTTTACTAACTACGGTACCCCACGCCTGATCCAGAGTTGGGCACAGCTCATCTGGAGTTCTTCCTTGGAATTATTCTAGATGCTGCAGAGTGCTCTCACCTACTGGGTTGTGAGAATGTGAGTCATGCCTATGACCTATGGTCATGGGACCACCCTTAAATAAACAGCCTTGCTTGGAAACTAGACTAAACCACAGAGAGTGGTGGCAGGGGAATGAGAGGGCGAGAGCATGAGAGAAAGAGAGAAACAGAGAGAGGATAAGGAAGGAGGAGGAGGAAGAAGAGGAAAGAGGATATTTAAGAAGACAGATAGTGAGGGACAAACACAGACATACCTGGCTAACCCCCCCAGACTGCAGGTAAAATTTCTGTATTCAGAAATCTACACACAAGCTCCATCCCTGCCCTTCTGTGGTTTGACTGTCTAAACAAAGTTTCTCCTTTTGTTTAAGGTTTTTTGAGATGTTTTTCTACTTGTAATGATAAACTTACGCTATGTAAGAAAGCATGTTCATTACTTCATAAGCAAATTCCTATTCCTGTGTCTGTGTCAAATACAACGATGCAACGAGTCAAATCGGCAAATATTTATGGAGACCGTAAGTGGGAAAAGGCATTGTGGCTTAGTGACAGTGAGAGCTACATCAAAAATGAAGACACAAAACATCTCTTTGGTAAATAAAGACTAAAATGCAAATACCACAATAGTTAACGGTATAAAATAAAAACAGACACACCATTAGGCATTATCAATGTATGAAATTGACTGAATAAAATATGCAGGTAATAAATACAGGGTACCAAGGAGGAACAATCAGGTTAGAAAACAACACTCCATTTTAAGCCTCTGTCGTGCTATGTGAAGTTCTACTCTGAATGACACAGACTGAACCAGCAGTGTAACACCCTTAACTGACCACATCCCGTTTCCTATCAATGTCTGAGGGTATGAAGCATTCCTAAAATATCCTTCTATTTATCTACAGAAAATATGATACAAGGCTTACCCCAGGACAAGGCTGGCTTCATGGGTGTTGTTTGTGCACTTTTGGAAGTGCTCTGTGCTTGGTTCAATGCTTTGCTGTCTTGAAATTTTTAAATAACTTTTATAACAAGGGGCCCCACATTTTAATTTTGTACTGTTTCCTGGAAATTGTGTCACTGGTCCTATACTAATGAAAGAGACACATTTTCTACAAGTGAGTCAGACCAATGGTCTTCCTTATCAAAACAACAGCATTTGCCGGGTAGGATAATATATTTCGGAAGTTAAAGGGCAAAGAAGCACTCACTCACTAGCCTCATATACCTTAACCTTCTATTAAAAGCAAATTATTTTGAAAAAATGAGAAGTCTGCAGTGAAGAGCAGTTATAATCTGCCAATTCACAACACTGTCATCAAGTGGTGAGCAAAGTCACCAAATGTTGCATCAGAAAGCAAAATCATCAAGGGTTGGGTAAAAAAGCCATGGTATAGGGGCACCTGGGTGGCTCAGTCAGTTGAGCGTCTGACTCTTGGTTTCAGCTCAGGTCAAGGATCTCACAGTTCATGAGACAGCCCTATGTCCAGCTCTGTGCTGATAGTATGGAGCTTGCTCTCTCGCCCTCTCTCTCTGCCCCTCCCCTACTCTTTGGAGCACATTCTCTCCCTTTCTCTCTGTCTCTCTGTAAATAAATGAAGAGTAAAAAAAAAAAAAAAAAAAAAAAAAAAAAAAAAAAAAAAAAAAAGGCCACAGTAGAGTCCTAGGGCATGACAAGCACAGGATGAAGGACAAAAGAAGCATCTGGTTCGTTTATGAGATACTTAGCGAAGAAAAGCTAGTTTGGGTCATGGTAAATGCACACAATATCACAGAACAGTGGATTGGTATCAACAGTGATCCCTAGAGACACAGCTCTACCTCATAGAGCACAGGCTAGATGAGACCGAGTATCACTGGGAAATTGTACAACTGAATTAGTCAGTCTCAACAGTTCCTCGGAGACGGCATCTCACCAGCTCCTGTAGAGGCATGCAGAGTAAAGGCAAGCTACAATGAGAGTGGGTACCTACCTTCTTGTCTCAGGATCCCTAAAAGTAGCACCATAGGACCGTGCCAGCCTTCTGAGATTTACTTATTTCTTTGATATGCTATCAGAACACCTACTCCAAAACTATAGCTCCATCCATCCTGTCTCATTGACACCTACCTCTCATCATTTCCACCCTCATTAAGGAGTCCAGCCCCAGCCATCAAACAAATGGCTATACATGGCGAAATACTCATCTGTTTGATTTGTACACTCATGTGACTGAGGTGTCGGCCCTTTTCCAGGGGAACAAGTTGACATTAGAGATGAAAAGAGGCCTGTGGCGAACCAGTGAGGGACCTGGAGGGGAGTTGTAGGTAATGTGCCGAGGTCAAAAGAAGATTCCTCTTTACAATTTTCCAAACTGACAGGCTTTGCTTAGTAATTTTTTTCTGAAAAGATAATATATAACTAAGTCTGAAGGGAATGAATGATGGTTTAAATGGGCTTGTAGTTTAGGAATTACCTCTCCTATCTATCTCACCTGTATGGACTTTTGACTAAATTGCATCTTTTATGTTAACCCATAATGATGGACTTTGAAGTAGAATACTCTCATTATCTTTAGAGTGGATGTTTAAAGTGTTTTACTTCTGTTCAAACCACTCTCTTTTTCCATCTACTATTCACTGAGGTATACTTTCTTCTATGATAAGGCTATGGCATCTAAGTGATGCATATGAGTTGGCATTCATAGCATAGTCTATGTGCTCAATAAATGCCAGCAATTAATTTCAACTGACTTAAGGATATATCAGAATCTACTTATATATGAAAACTAGGTAGATAATCATGGTTTTGTATGTAAGGAGGACAGGAAGCAGAAATTGTGGAATTTTGTGGTATGATGAACAAAGTCCCTTAGGATATAAGTTTCCTGAAGATCTAAAGCAAAGTCATTGTTAGTGCAAGGATATTGGAAAATATACTAATTCAGTATTAGGATTTGGTTTACAGGGATGATTATGTTTCTTTTCCATTCTCCCACTAGACCCAGCTATTTAGGGCTGCTGTCCTGGGAGGGCTAGCTTTCCTCCTGAATTAATATTCAATATGCCTCTATGGAATATCATAATTAGTGACAGAGACTTTATTTTATGTACTTAAGAAATTTCCCTTCATTCCTGAAAAAATTTACTTTAGGAAATGTAGTATAATTCTACAAGAATCTTGAAAGATATTTTAAAAATATTGATCATCTGTTTCTTGGTGACATTGGGCAGAAATTTTAATACAAATGGTGAAATTTCAACAATATGTCATGAATTGAGCAAAAACAAAAAGAAAATGAGTCATCTTACCTTTGTAGTCTTTGCTATTGGCCTTTTGAGGTGAGTAGGTTTATCATCTCAGCAAGGTTGTTCCACTCCACTTACATGATCTGCTTGTGTGTGGTTTCCTCATCAGAGAAGTTGTTTTACCAGACAGTGGTCCTGGCAAACCATCTCCTCAGCTATTCTCTGTAGCATCATAGCCTCTACGCCAACCCTTCTTACTCAAACTCCAAATTTTGCCAAATCTCAGCACCCTGTTAGACTTGATATTCCAGGTTGAAGGCCATCTAATTTTTCATTCAGGCTATAAAACTTGGCAACCCCAGTGGTGTCACACCTAATAAAATACCAGTTTTAAAATGCCATTGTGCAAATGAAAAAAACCTACCTTTCTTGTAGAATGAGTTTGTTCTCTTTCTTCCAAAAGTCTTTAAAGTCAGAGCTGAATTCATGCCAGATACTGAAGAAAACATTTGGGGACACTTCCTTCTCTCCAATTTTTGGTTTCATGAAGAAATAGGCTGTAGTCTCCAAAAAGCTGTCAGAGCACACACACACACAAGCATAAAAGCTATGATTACTTTCCAATATGGGATATTCTTTCTCCATCCAAATGTTGATTTCATTCATGTGCAGTTATTATTACCATGAGAACTCAAAATTTGGAAGCATCAACAGTAGTCTCCTATGGTTTCATGTTAGAGTTTTGGATACAGATGGTAGCAGCTGATAAGAACCCTCCCTATACTGATAACTATGCCTGGTCCAATTCCATTTTCAAAGTTAATCACCAAGTGCCTGACATATTTCAGAAATAAACCCTGTACTCGAGCTGGGACCTACTGAAAATAGTGGGTCTATAATTTTTTCCAACACTCTAAAAAAATGAAATATCAGCCATTTGTCCCCAAACTAATATGTATTCTATATGTATTTAATATCACTACATACATTTTGGCTTCCTACACTGCCAGGGAAAGAAGAAAGTGAGTTCCAGAAAATGGTGACAAGTGTCCCATCAGATCATGGCAGTCTCACTGAGTGGATACCAATATGGCAGCCAGTACTGTGACAGTAGACTGACAGTGCCACTCTTCAGAAGGTGGTGCTTAAAACTACAGCTACATGAAGCTCAGAAGAGTTTCAAAAGGCCTGATTGACAGAGAACATACAACTAATAAACGGTAGATTTAGAACTCCCCAAAGTCTTCTGTTCCCATAAAAAAATGCCCTGAAAAGGACCTAGGCCAATAAAACTGATAATGTCATAGAGAAGAGACGTGGGCAGCTGGTCAGAGTATGGCCAGAGTTGCTGCAAAAAGAAGTGACATTCCAATAACCTTTGCCCCTCTTCCCTTTCTTCCCCCACTTTGGTAGTGGGCAAGCATTAATGCTGATACACAAAGACCAAGTTTGATTTACTATGAACTAAAATTTTCTAAGGCAACTTGAGCTTACCATATTGTATTGTTTAAGAGTATGTGTACACACGTATATACATTAACACACATCTGGGTATGTATTCAGTTTGTCATATAGCTGATTTCAAATCCCTATCCTGAAAAAAAATACGAAAAATATCTCATTGAGATGAGCATTAATAAAATGAGATGCGCAAGGTGAATCTGCTCAGAAGACAAAGGAGACTGAGCATCACACACAAAATCAAGAATTCTCAGCCACCTTAAGAGTTACCAGAGGGCTAGTCTGTATTGGTTTTAAACTCGCCTTATAGTGGTCTCTGAGCAGCAAGATTCCCAGGGACACCAGCGTTTAGAGTCTGGGATGACAGAATTTAGATACAGATTTAGATTTACATTTACATTTAGAGATGTGAGCAATTTTTTGATCAAATGTGTAACTCCTGGGAATCCTATATTTCTTCCTAGTTAGCCTAGTAGGAAAAATGACACAGGAAAGAAAGTCAATTCTGAGAAAGAGTCAGGCTGTGAAGGGGATATTGTATCTGAGAATCTGGCTGCTGTGAGCTATGGTAATGACATCAGGATACCTCCACAGGGGGTATTGATGGCATGAAGACTGCAAGGAGAGCGACAGCAGGGAGCAAGAGCAGTCTAAGACATATCTGGGTCAGATTTTATTAAAATTGATACCATATATACATACTTCCCTCCCGGGAAAACTGGTAATTCTCCTTATATGCCTAAAGACTATTTATGACCTAAATGGCAGAAATCAGGTCTCAAATCCTTGACTATCCACTTATTCTTTTCCATCATTCCTCAGTATTTATGCTTTGTAAAAATTTATTACAGACCAAGCCAGTCTACTTGGGCAGACGTATCTAAGTTTTAATCGCTGGTTCATCTGTTCAGCCACTTACAACATTTTGAAAGTTCTATCATGAGGCAGCATGGTATAAAGGAAAGAATATAGGATTAAGAATAGGAAGACATAGGATATTGAATCTTGACTATCTATACGAGCAAACCATTTCACATCATCTGACTCAGCTTTTTCACCTATAAAATCGTGAATGTCATAAGCAATTTAATTCCAGAGAACATTAATTTCCAAAGTGTTTGTTAAATGTTTTAACACAGAAAAAACTTATTTTGTATTGCATATTATTTTACATTACATATATTCTATATTAAATATTAAGAAATATAAGTATATATTTACCAAATATTTTCTCTAAACTGTATTAATTGAATTCAGGTTGATTTATTAATAAAATCTTATGTGATCATGTTCCCTGCTATTTTTGAATTATTGGCATGCAGAGAGGTTTGCGATACTAGTAATAATTACTCTAATCATTGAATAATTTTCCCTTGGCTTTGTCCTAAATTGCCTACATAGCTTTAAGAAGATAACAATTTTTGAATTTCAGTTTTGAGCTTTTAGTTTCTTCATCTGTAAAGTGGAGGGTATGTCTGCTTTTCTATATATCATAAAGATTAAATGAAAAGTACTTGCAAGTTATAAACTAAAATAGAAATATATGTATTAACTTTATAAGGAGCAAGCATTTTTCACTAAAAACATTCTATACACAAAACTTAATAAATTTGTGGGACATATTAGTATCTTACTATTGAATTAAAGTCCAGTGTGAAATTGCTGAACAGAATGATTCCCAATGATGACAACCTATGTACTTAGTCATTTCTTTGGAAGTGGCCACAGTGAAAGACAAGTGTCACCTAAGTATGACACAGAGAGTAAAGAATTACCTCAGGACCACAAATGCTGTCCCAACTCTATTCAACAACCCCACATCCTAGAATAAAGCATAAGCACTTTTCAAAACCAACCAAACAGATGATAGGCAAAAATTTCTACAAGTGATCAGAGTATACCAGAGGTATTTTTGGTTATATAATCCCGTCTATATTAGGTGGCATTCAGCTAATCCAAACTTAAATAACATGAAAGATACCCATTTGGTTGATGGGTCGAAGGGATAGATTGTATTCTTTCTAAATTATCCTTTTTTTTTTTGTCCCTAAATCTGAATCCAGGAGGGTCTCATCCACCATACAGTAATACAGGAACACAAAAGAATGTGGGCATTTTATCTGGGACCTTCATCACTACTGGCTGCTCTGTGAGGCTCTCTCGAAATAACTGTGACACGCTAGGAGCCAGTAGTGAACAGAACTGTAGTTATCACACTAAGAGAATATAGCAATCATAGTAAAAGATGACTTCAGAGGTCACCAAAAATCAAGAGCCCTGTAATCAGGATTCTTAAATAGCCCTTTCTGGAAAAGATCAGTACTACACTTCTTTTACTATAAACATGGTACAAATATACTGCTCTGCAATACAATTGAGGTAGCCACAGAGTTCTGAAAACATAGCTCCAGCAGAATTGTTTTGAAATTTCTCTGAATCCTCACATAAAAACAGAGAAAGCAACTGAGATATTAAAAATCAAAGCTAATAGGAAAATATCTGCAAAAACACTGTGTCCAATATCACCACAAACTTCAAAATGCAAACAGGTGGGGGGCATCTGGGTGGTTCAGTTGATTACACCTCCGACTTCAGCTCAGGCCATGATCTCGTGGTTCGTGGGTTTGAGCCCAGCGTAGGGCTCTGTACTGACAGCTCAGAGTCTGGAGCCTGCTTCAGATTCTGTGTCTCTCTCTTTCTCTGCCCCTCCCCAGCTCTCTCTGTCTCTCTCTCTCTCTCTCTCTCTCAAAAATAAATAAACATTAAAAAAAATTAAATGCAAACAGGTGGGACTGACAACACAAAACCCAATTCATAACATCATCTGTATAGGAGGAGGCAGAGGAAAATAATAGAGGGACCCCTAAAAACAGAAGAACCCCTGAATCACAAAAGTGTTTAGGGCCAATCTGAGGATTGCAGCTGAAATTGGAAGGGGTTTTACGCATTTTAACTCATGGAAGAGGAGAAAAGATCTAGAGTAAGTACTGAAAAGGATGGGAACAGTCTGCAATACATGAAGTCTTAGTACTAACCAAGAGAAACTCCCTCTTATGGCAAAGCTCTGCATTGATAGAAAATGCTGGGAGTAGATGCAAATTGTGCAGGATAAACACAGGGACAAATAGAAAATGCAGATACATTAGAGGGGAAATTTTGCAGGCAATATTTTTGTTTTATTCTTTTTTGCCATTGTGCACAAGCAACAAAAGAGAAATCTCTAGAACAGTGAAACTACTAAAGCTATCCTCACTCATCTCTTCATCCTAAAAGTTCAGTAAAAATAATTTCATATAAAAATGAGGAGAAAAATATTGGGGCAGAAAAAAGTATGCCACTCAAACACTAAGCATAGCCATGTTGATGTGGTTTTATTATCAGAGAAACAGACTTCAAGACAATATTATTACAGCATGATTTCATAATGATAAAAACATCCCATTTTCAGAAAGACGTAACAATCCAAAATATGTATGCATCTAAGAAGAGTTTCAAAATACATGAAGGAAAACCCACAAAACAAAAAGGGAAAAGAGGTAAAACCTTCATCATAATTGTTTAACATCTTTTCTCAGTAATGGACAGAACTAGAAAAAAAATCACTAAAGGATATATAAGTTGTGAACATTATCCACAAATTGACCTAATTCACTTTTACAGAACACTGTAATCAACAATTAGAATATATGAGAGCATATGAAAACCTTCACCAACACAGATCAGATACTGGATCATAAAAGAAGTCTCAATAAATTTCAAAGGACTGAAATTATCCAGAATATGTTCTCTGACCATAGTGGCTTTAAATTATGAAAAATTTAAAATGGTATATCTAGGGGCGCCTGGGTGGCTCGGTCGGTTAAGCATCCGACTTCGGCTCAGGTCATGATCTCGCGGTCCGTGAGTTCGAGCCCTGCGTCGGGCTCTGTGCTGACAGCTCAGAGCCTGGAGCCTGTTTCAGATTCTGTGTCTCCCTCTCTCTGACCCTCCCCCCGTTCATGTTCTGTCTCTCTCGGTCTCAAAAATAAAATTAAAAAACGTTAAAAAAATTTTTTTAAAAATGGTATATCTAGGAAATCTTCATTCTGGAAATTAACTAAACTGCTATAAATA